TCCGCTGCCTGGAGCCGCCTTCGCCGCCGCGCTAGGAGCCGGGCCTCGGCGTTGCCCCCCCCCTCAGGCGCAGGTGCGCTCTTGGGCCGGGCGGGAAGGTTGGGGGGGACGCCCCAGCTGGAGGAGGTGGGAGGAGGAGGAAGGAGGAGGAAGAGGAGGAGGCAAGGCAAGGGGGTGGGAAGACTCCCTTTCACTCTCGCTCGCTCACTCACTCTCTTTTGGGGAGGGGGGCTCAGCCTGGCCCTGCGCTGAGGCAGGAACCGGCCCTTCTGACCACCGGCCGTTCTGGCATTTGCCAGAATTGCCAGATGGCCAGTCCGGCCCTGCACACTCTCTAACTGCTGGGGTGAAAGAGCTACAAAGAAGCAGCCTCTTCACCACCAGCGGTTAGCAATTTGAATTCCCTGCTTTTTTTTCTGGTTGTAACTTGAAGCTCCGGTTGCAAGTCGAAGCAAAATTTTGCGCCCAGAGATGGTTGTGACTCAAAATGGTTGTAAGTCGAGGCACCACTGTAAATGACTGATGACACTACTGGTGGTAGTGATGATGATTCGACCCAAATCAAAACTTTGCTGTGGAATTCCTTCTTTTAAAAAAGCACTTGGAAAAGAAATAAACTCAACTATGACACCCATACCATATTTAGGAAAAACAATTACAGTAACTGTTTACATGGTACACTTCTGATGTTTGCAACATGGTGGTCATAGGCAAAATAAAGTCCCTGAACACTTTTCGCCACGTCCATTGGGGATCCTTGACCCTTCTGTTTTTTAAAATACGTTATTGATTGATCAATCAACCAACCAATCAAAAAGATGTACATTCAGGACACCAGTTACTCCACCCAACATCTTTTTCTTGATCAGAATGATTTTAGGTCCCATATGGGCCCAAGCAATGGTAGGCAAAAGACAGCTGTCCAGATGTTAGGCATAAATTCAGATCAGTCCCTGCTAGTGTTGCCAATGGCCATACATTATGGGAGCTTAAGTCCCAAGCATCTCAACATCTACCCTTTACTTATATTTATCTTCAAGAAAAGGGAAGTGGTGGGGCATCAGGTGGTGAAAGCCCTGTTCTTAACCAGATAGCTAAAACTGGAAACAAAGGGGAGGTTATCTGGAAGTTGAGTCATGGCAACTGGAATTCTTTCTTATTAGGCCAAAAACATTTCACTGCAAATCAAAGTACAGTGGTGCCTCGCTTAGCGACGTTAATCCGTTCCAGGAAAAACGTTGCTAAGCAATTTAATCGCTAAGCGATTTTTAAAAGCCCATAGAAACGTATTAAAAAGTGTTTAATGCATTCCCATGGGCTTCAAAACTAACCTTATGCGAAGATCCTCCATAGGGGCGGCCATTTTCAGTGCCTCTAAAGCGAGGACACACAGCGGGTGGCCATTTTGTTTTTCTGGCAGCCATTTTGAAACCGCCGATCAGCTGTTTAAAAAGGGTCACTTTGCCATGATCGCTTCCCCGATCATCGCAAAGCGATTTTCCCCCATAGGGACCATTGCTAAGCGATCGCTCTTGTGATGGCCAAAACCCCATCGCTAAGCGATTTAGTCGCTCAACGGAGCAATCGATGAATCTCTGTTTTCCCAATGCTAGCCTTATACTTTAATCAGGGCACCATGGTGGTTCTGACCTGGCAAACTACTGGTTTTTCAGGAAGAATTTTTAGGAGAAAACAAACATTTTCATAGTATCACATTCTCTAGGCTTTTAACAGTCCATGACTGAAATTAAAACATTTTTTTTCTTAAAAGTGATGAGAGCATTAACATTAATTTTTCTCTGTGATGCTTAGCAGTTTATTGAAAAATAAAATAAAAAGAGAAAACTGATTTCCCCCCTAGCAATTCTTAATAAAATGCATGCCTACTTTTAAGAAGAGCAGAAATATTTTAGGAGTTTAAACAAGTTTCAGAAACAGAAAAAGATCCAACAGTACTTACTCATTAATTATCAAATCTGGTGCAAAACACAACAGACTTCCATTAGATTGTTTGTATGATCTCCATCCTAGAGCAAAAGCCATAAGAAACATCCACGAATACTGCAGAAGGGTCATTTGGTCATCCAGATGCAAGTTTCTAAAACCTGAACAAAAAAAGAAGTGCATGATATTGCTTGCCCAAAGTATTAATTTTGAAATATATAGTTCAGTACCATTTCTTGAATGGTAAATGAAAATGAAACAAAATATAGTTAAAGTTGTAACTAATGTTAATCAAGAAGCAATGCTAAATGAGGAGAGAATGTTCGGGAGATCGCACTAATATTTATAAATACACAACAACAACAGACACCTTACACTGCAGCAACATTCTCTGCATAACATCCTTGGAAAGAGAGGAATTTCATGGAAGAAGGAACAAGACTGGAGCTTTTAACCATCATAGCTTGGAAATATCAGCATTAATGCTCACATGTTAAAGAAAATTAAGCTGTTAAGTCTATTAAGCCATTGCAAAACCAAAACCATTTACTGTTTAACCTATTAATCAACCTACTAAAATTATGATTAAAGTAGCAAATGTTAATGGTTACTCAAAATAATACCACTGGTGTTTAAGAATTTATGTAACAAATTTCAAAACAGTTGTGGAGTTTTTAAACCAACCATGGTAACAAATTATTTTTAATGAATTACCGTATTTTTCGCTCCATAAGACACACTTTTTCTCTCCAAAAAGGTGGGAGGGAAAGTACATGCGTCTTATGGAGTGAATGCAATAACCCAGGGTTCAGCCACCACCACCCAAAAGCCTCCCACTGCCATGCTGGGAGGCCTCTGAACTGGCAGCAGAGACTGCTTTCTGTTTGGACCTCACCATTTTGCACTGCTAGCTTTCTAGGATCTGCCTCCTGCAGCCCACCTGGAAAACCAGCAAGG